ATATATATAATATAGTCTAAAGCTGTTTTTTTGGTCTCTTTTTGCCATGTATATATAAATGAACTTTTAATAAGCTTGTGCTTTGTTTTTGACATACTTAAGAGAAAGAACACATCTATTACACAAGCCAAAACGAGAGCATGGTCTTCTCCCAGACTCTTGTAACCTGGTGCCTTACCAAGTAGTGTCTTTTTTTAAGTATAAATGATGTTAAGCAGAATGTTGTACTTGAAAATGCTATGAATGAGGTGCTATGAAATAAATTATAACCTATATATATATATAATTGCACTTGCTTTTTCTACCCCAAAGTCCCTAGAAGTCAATAAACATCTAACTGTGTCTAGAAAGAGCACTGATGGAGAAACACACGGGGCAGTACTCAGTAGTGTATTGGGAATGCACCCTCAGCCACAACCATCAAGTCAATGCCCACTCATAGTGATCCTGTTGTTGTTACTATTGTTAAGTGCGGTTGAGTCCGTTCTGACACATAGCAACCCTGTAGAGGTTTCCAAGGAGCGTCTGGTGAGCTTGAACCACCGACCTTGTGGTTCAAACGACTTTGCAGTCCAGCTCATTAGCCCACAGTGCCACATCAGGACTCCATAATGACCCCGTAGGACAGGGTAAAACTGTCTCATAGGGTTTCCAAGACTAAATTTTTATGCAAGCAGACTGCCACATCTGTCTCATGCTGGCAGGGTGAGGTTTGTTTGAACAGGTCAGTGGGTTTGAACTGCTGACTTTCCAGTTCAAAGTCAAGTGCTTAACTGTATACCAGGACTCCTAAGAAATACTAAAAGCTTATTAAACATGTGATTTTGAGGGTTCTAGGGTAGCAATCTGATAAGAATCACCTGAGTCTGCATTAGTAATGGACCGTATATTGAGGTCCCAATGTATTAGAAGAAGCTCTGTTCTTGGAGCTAGAAGCCTAGGCTTTCAGTTGCTTAATATGTAAATGAAATGGAGACATCACTTGACCTGAGGCTCAGTGTCCCCATGTGTAAATAGTACTACCTTTGTCACCAGGCTGAGTTCCGTCTGAGAATCCATGTAGACATGATTAGGGTAAAGGCTCATGATCAATAAATAACCATGAGAAGAATCAGGAGTCAGAGGAAGCCCAAGCACAATGGCACAGTGGCCTCCACTCCCACCTACAGCTGTATAGCTGAAATTCACCATAGTTCATCATTTTCCACCCATCGAAGGGGCCAGGAGCTGCCAGTGTGCGCGGTATGAATTCTTCAAGTTCTGGCTGTCAGCATTTTCCTGTGGCAGGATTTAGCCGTCACACCAGTGAGTCCTGGGAAGGTGACCCTGAGGATGGGACCATTCTGAGGAGCCAAAAGTCATCCTGCTGTTAACTCCATCCTCAAGGGAGCAGACAGTCCACTCCTTATCATCTATTGAAGTTTGGGTCCTCCCACTTAATTCTCCCCACCAAGGACTCCAGGCTTTGACATTTATGAATATTCACTGAACACTCCGGAATGATTCTAGAGGAAAAGCACACATGAACAAATCCCCCACAAAAAGCTCATACAGGAAAACCCAAAAAAGTCCACTATAACAAATGAACATAATAAAAATGCACACAATTACTAACCCTAATTATATATGGGGTTTTTGTGTGTGTGGACTTTTTTCATATGTGTTATTTTCTGGTTACCTTCAGGAACACTTGACATAAATACTACACAGAAAACAACAGCAATGTTGGAATTATATTATCCATATCCTAAGGTATCCAAGGAGCTCTGG